AATTATTTTTAATTTTTACAAATAATAACATTTTTTTATTTAATATTGTATATTAAATAATTGAACTCTAGAATTTACTGATAAAAATTGATTTAGAAATGAATTTCAGTTAAAATTTCAGATAAGATTTGAATATTAAAAGTATTATAGCGTGAATATTTAGAAATAATTGAATTTTGAAAAAGTTTTTAAAAATTCTGGTAAAAATTTCAATTATCTTTAATAATAAAATTTTGAAGTATTTACAATTGATTGTAGAAATTTCAATTATTTTCAAAAGTGATAAAATTTAAAAAAAAAATTCAATTATATTGAAAAATGAAAAAAAATTGTTGTAAAAATTTCAATTATCTTTATAAATAACAAATTCTTATCCAAAATTCAATTATTTTCAAAATTTTTAATAAAATTCTTGTCAAAATTTCAATTATTCAATTATTTTCATAAACAATAAAATTTTTACAGAGATTCAATTATTTTCATAAATAATAAAATTCTCTTTAGGAATTTGCGTAGAAATTTATTAAATTTTTTGAAAATAATTAAATTTTTCTAAAAAGTTTTATTAAAATTTCATTGAAAATAATTAAAATCATACAAAAACTTTTATAAAAAATTTGTATAATAATTGAATTCATTCGAAAAATTTTATTCAAACTGTACTGAAAATAACAACTACTTTTAAAAATAATTGAATTATTTCAAAGAATTTAAATAAAATTATATTAAAAATAATTCAATTATTTCAAAGAATTTAAATAAAATTATATTAAAAATAATTGAATTTTTATCTTTTATAAAAATAATTGAATTTCAGCGAAAATTTTTATTATTTGTAAAAATCATTGAATTCTTATAAAGAATTTTATGAAAATTTTAGTAAATAATTGAATTTATTTGACGAATTTTATTTAAATTGTATTTTAAAAATAAGTGAATTGTTTTCCTAAATTTTATTCGAATTTTTTATAGTATTAATTGTATTTATTTATTTTTAAAAATTTTCTTCAATCTAATGATTTTCAATATCTAACTATTTCAATAAAATTCTAGCGCAAAAATTTAATTATTTTCATAAATAATAAAAATTTCACAAGAATCCAATTATTTCAAAATCTCTTATAAATTTTCTTCGCAATAATTCAATTATTTTCATAAATAATACATTTTTTTTACAGGGATTCAATTATTTTAATGAAATTCTTTTTAGGAATTCAATTATTTTCATAAATTAATAATTTCAATTATTTTTAATACAATTTTTATTGAATTTTTCAAAAAATGTTCTTGAAAAAAAATGTTTCAATTAAAATTCTTCAAAAGAATTGAATTATTTAAAAATTTGTTGATAAAATTCTTTATGAGAATTCAATTTTAAGAAATATTTAATTATTGAATAAATTATTTATTTTTTAATTAACAATTCTGTAGAATTAATTTTTTCGAAAAAGTTTAATTTATGTTTTACTTCATGTTACAGAATAATATTTATATAAGTTGTTAAAATTCAAAAAGATTTGAATTTTAAATTTTTGAAAATCTTAATTCTTATGGAAAAATAAAAAATGATTAAAAATTTCTTAAAAAAAAAAGTTATTGGTGTTTTTGAATAATTCTACAATTCTTTACTCTTGAGTATGAAATAAAGTAGTTTCAATAGAAAAAAGCATATATAATTTTGAAATGAAAATAAATTTAAAATGTTCAAAACTTAGCACTTTCAGTAAAATCACCCATATCTTGATGATGTTGATTTGAAAAATTTAAATAAATTTAAAGAATATTTTTGATAAAAGATATACAATTTCTCGGACCAAAAAGTTTCACTTGGAATTCACGTTGGAAATTTTCGAGTTGATAACTTTACTGGTGGGTAGGAAATTTGCGATAAGCGAGTTTCGCACGTGTGAAATTAAGCGAAGCTATAAGTTTTGAAACGGCTGCTTCCGAGGAAACTTTGAATATCGATGTCCTTAATGCGAGTGGGCAAGTCCCAGTTTCCGAATGACTTCCTTCTTGGTACTTTCTCTCTCTCTCTCTCTCTCTCTCTATAGCTGGATAAGATAACAATTATAGTTTATTACACATGGGACTCAATCTTGTTAGCAACTCATTTAATTTCACTTCAATATTATCCCTCCTATTTCTCATAAATTACCAAGATTTTAATCTGATTCTACTAACATTATTATATATGCAATTTTATTAAACTAAAAGTAGATTTTATCTTTTATATATATATATATATATATATATATATATATATATATTCATTCGTTGAATGAAAATTAAAATCTTGTTTGTCAAAAAGAAAATTTAATTAAATATACGTACGCTTCGCATTTCTTGAATTCATTTATAATATTAAACGGTTGTCTTGAATAATTGTGTAAAATTCTACTTTTTCAAATTACATTATATACTCTAAAGGAAGAAATAAAAATTCTATTATGTTGAAGCACTTTAATTATAATGATTGTCTGGCTCTCACAAATTATTTTCACAGTTTCTGTTTTCTCTCTTTTTGGGTAATTATAAAAAATTTAGATCACTGAATTTTTTACTAAGCTCTTCATTGTTTTTTTTTTACTATTTTAAACTCTGAATTAAAGATTCAATGCAAACATAAATTTGTGTTTTCTTCTTTAATTTTGTAGGAAATTTTTATTTTCTTTTTATAATTATAGAGAATAAGGGTAAATAATAAATGAATGTAAAAAATGAAATACAATTTTCTTGAACAAAGAAAAAATTTAATTAACAAGGTTGAAACAAAGAAATATTAAAAGTTCGAAAAACCCCCTCCAATGCAGCTAAAAAAAAGAAAGAATAAAAGTAAGGAACCCCCTTCCCTTCTCATTTCATTTGTTACCTAATCCAGTCTATAAATTCGAAATAGAGAAAAAAATTATTAATTTCAATTTGTAACTGACTTTTTGTTTTTAAATTAGTTAAAGCTAACTAATAAATATTTTAATTATTAGATTTTATCTAATAATTTATATAAACATTTATAAAATCAAAATAATTTGTGTAAATAATTAATCTATAATTTACATAAAATTTACTAATAAAAATTTTGAAATCTATTAATTTATATATAAGTAATTAAACTATAATTTCTATGCAGTTTTGTAATAAATATTTCAAAAATCTATTAACTAGTAAATTTTAATTATTCAAAAGAAAAAAACAGTAATTAAAATTTTTTAATAATTCAAATTTGGAGAATAAATTTTTTAACACTATTTTTGCAAAAAAAATTACAAAATATTCTTTTTTTCTTTGATTTGCAATCTTTTTTGAATTTTTTAAAATAACATTTTAGTTGAAAAAATATTGTAAATTTTATAATTTTCAATCTAAAATAATTTCATTCTTGCGTAGAAATTTATTCAAATTTTTGTAAATAATTGAATTTTTCTTAAAAGTCTATTTAAATTGTATTAAAAATAATTCAACTCGTGCAAAAACTTTTATTAAAAATTTTGAGAATAATTGAAATATTTTTTAAATTTTATAAAATTTTTGAAAATAATTGAATTGATTTGATATTTTTCTTCTAAATTGTACAATTTTTAATAATTAATTAAACTAATTTTTGAAAATAGTTGAATTATTTCAAAGAATTTAAATAAAATTATATTTTGAAAATAATTAAATTTTTGCCGAAAAATGTTTATTTTTCTTAAAAAAAAATAATTTAATTTCAGCGAAGAATTGTATTATTTATAGCTAAAAAAAAAGAATTTAATTCTTATAAAGAATTTTATCAAAAATTTTGAAAATAATTGAATTCATTCGAAAAATTTTATTTAAACTGTATAATTTGAATAATTTCTAATAATTAATTAAACTAATTTTTGAAAATAGTTGAATTATTTCAAAGAATTTAAATAAAATTATATTTTGAAAATAATTTAATTTTTGCGGAAAAATGTTTATTTTTCATAAAAAAAATAATTAAATTTCAGCGAAAAATTGTATTATTTATAAAAAAAGAATTGAATTCTTGTAAAGAATTTTATTAAAAATTTTGAAAATAATTGAATTCGTTTGATGAATTTTATTCAAATTGTATTTTAAAAATAAGTGAATTGTTTTCATAAATTTTATTAAGATTTTTTATAATAATTTAATTCATTCCAAGAATTTATTTAATAAAAATAATTTAATTTTAGCGAAGAATTTTAAAAATAACTGAATTTTTTTTAAAGAAGAATATTAAAATTTTTGAAAATAATTTTAAAAAATATAATATTAATAATAATAATAGTAATAAAAAAAATAAGAAATAATATTAATGATAATAAACAATGCAGGCACATTTACTAAAAAATGAACATTAAACGAAAAATTTGAACTTTATATAAAACGAGAATAATATTTGCCGATTGAAACTGTAAAAAATAAATGGTTTAATAAATATTGCAATCCTTTTAGTTGAGGTGTTAGCTTTTTAAAGTTCACGCACACACAAATAAATTGTAAGATTAAATTCAAAACCATATACGTATTCAGTGCTTATTGACTGGAGGCTTTGCAAAATATTCTGAAACGTGACCCGTGACAAATGACTGGACACGTTCCTATATAAACCACAGTCGCAAAACACGAACCTTTACAAATGAAAAATCTACAGAACATTTCATGAATATTATAATATTTGATAAAAAAAAATTCTCATTTCTATCTTTTGTTTCTCCAATTAGTCGATAAATGTTAATATTAGTAAAAAAGGAAGAATAAAATTTAAATAAATTGTGATTTCAAAAAAAAAAATAGTTTTTAACAAAAAAGATTTTATTTTTTATTGTCGAACCATTTGTTAATTTAAAACTTTGTTTCAATTTGCACGTCTAATTAATTCGTTGGTTTTAATTAATTCTTTTTTTTTAAATTCAAATTAAATAATAAATTAAATTTAAACTAATTAAATTATTATTATAAAGTCTTTATTATTATTAATTTAATACCTACTAATTAAAATTATTTCTCAATTCTGAATTAATTCTAAATTGCTCTGAATCATTTCAAATTGTTCTAAATTATTTCAAAAGTGTTGTAAAATTCTAAATTTAAAAATTGTGTTCGATTCGATAATTTGTCTTTTGTTCTATTCGATATTTTTTGTTATTTGAAAAAAAGAGTGATGTATCAATTTTTTATAAGTGTAATATTAACTTATGCATTTCTGTATAAAATTGTCAGTATAAAATTGGAATGTACGGCTGAAATGAAAACAGGTGAGGGAAAAGTTTTAGTTTCTTTTTTTTTGAACAATAAATATTTCGTTATTTATTTGACAAATTAAAATAATTTAAGAGCCGCTTTTTTGGAAATTTATTTCAAACTAAGATATAAAACCCAATAGTTAATATATATATATATATATATATATATATATATATATATATATATATATATATATATATATATATATATATATATTTTTATCGATGGAAGTAAACGGAAAATTTATTAAAGTTGGAATTTTGAGTGGTTTATTTTATACGAAAGAAAATATATGTTTGCGGCAATTTTGAGAAAATTGAAAATACACTTTTACAGATGACATTAAATCTTCTATTCGCTACAATTATTTGAATGCCCATGAATGGGGTAATAATTATTCTCAATGCTCTGGAAATAGACAATCGCCAATAAATATTGATTTATCGAATATTTCTTCAAACGATCAAGATTTTAATTTGATATTTCATGGATATGATGTGATACCAAAAGAAATGAAATTTTCAAATACTGGACAAAAAGGTAGAAGTTAAAAAGTATTAAAAAAATATTCAGGTAATATAATTGTAAAATGATAACAATAGAAAAAATAATTAGAAATTTATAGAAAAAGTATTTTGAAAAATAATAGAAAAAAAAATTTGTTGTATTTTAATAAGAAAAAATATTTAAAAAATAATAGAAAAAATTTGTTTTATTATAAGAAAAACTTTTTAAAAAAAAGTAGAAACAATTTGTTTTATTTTAATAAGAAAAAATATTCAAAAAATAATAGAAAAAATTGGTTTTATTTAAATATGAGAAAATATTAAAAGAATAATAGAAAAAAAATTTATTTTACTTCAATATGAAAAAAATGAAACGTAACAAAATTTCAGCCGAATTAATTGCTAAATGGACAAATGAGACTCCTTTCATACAAATTGCAAATCGTAAATACATTTTTGACAGTTTACACTTTCATTGGGGTATTAATGACTCCTGTGGGAGTGAACATACTTATAATTATACATGGTAAAATGACTGATTTTACGAAAAAAAAATATTTCGTTTTTTAAAAAAATATTTAAAAATACTATTTTGATAAATTTTATTTTTGTGAAAAAATAGCTTCCCTTTGGAGATGCATTTAGTGCACTATCGTGACAAATACGAAAGCTTCAAAAAAGCTCTAAACCAAAGTGATGGATTATTAGTTTATGGAACAGTATTTCAGGTATTTACGATTCTAAATAATGGTTGATGAAAAAAAAAATTCATATTCGATTGCATCAATGTTTTAATAAAATTTCATTTAATAACAAATTTTTTTTTAATTTTGTATTTAAAAAATTTTTTTTATTAGTTTTTCTATTTTTTAATTCTTTTTTTCTATTTTTTATGATTGATTATGATTTTTATTTTCATTTATTATGATTTCATTAATTATCATTAATATTTTCATTATTTTCACAGATTAATGATGGAAAAAATTCAAGTATTTCTCCTTTAGCAAAGAGTTTGTTGTTAATTAAAAAGGAAAATAGTTCAACAACAGTTGAACCATTTCCATTGTCAATTTTTACAACGGAACGTGGTTATTATATGTATAATGGTTCAGTGACAAGGCCACTTTGTTGGGAAAATGTTTTGTGGATTTTGAGTGCTCAAATTTTGACAATAACAAAAAAAGAGGTTTGAGATTTTTGAAAATTTATAATATTAATATAATATAATAATATAATATAAAATAATATAAATATTAATTATATTATTATTATTATTTATTTTTTATTTTTTACTTCATGCTATAAAGTATTATTATTATTATCAGTTGCTTATTATTTTTCTATTATTTTTTATTTGTTTATTAACTCATTTATTTACTTACACCAGTCTAACTAAATTTTGTTGTTTTAAAAATTGTTTTAAAAAATAATCATGGAATAATCAAATTTTAATTACACTATTTTCAGATGCAATTATTTAGATTAGTTGAATTTTCAAACGGTGAAAAATTAAATCATCGTCCAATCCAACCATTAAATAAACGTAAAATTATCTATATTCCATAATTTGATGTTTAGTGAATTTAACATTAATTAAAATTCCAACAATGATTCTCTGTACTAAATTATAATAGAAATAATAATTATTCATTATATACGTAAATTGTAAATAAAAATAAAAATTGAATTTTTAATTCTCTGTAGTAAATTATAATGGAAATCACAATTATTCATTATATACGTAAATTGTTAATAAAAATAAAAATTGAATTTAGAACAAAAAAAGTTTTTATTAAATTTAATTTAGAAAAAGTAAAATTAGTAAAAGAAAGCTTCCACCAATTTTTAAATTATTTTTGTAGAGATAATTTTTTTTGTTTTATTATATTTATATTATTTATTATTTTAATTATGATTATGATTATGATTATGATTATTTTAATTAATTATAATTATTATTATAATTAATGATATTTACATTTTTTATTTGAATTTCATATATTTGTAAAAAATTAATTTTCACTTTTACTTAATTAAAATATATTATCTCTCGCAAGAATATAGAATAACGAATTTCTTATAAACGGTAAGAAAAAATATTTTCCCAGAGAAACACGCTGCACACAGACATTGTGAATGTTCTCTTATTGTCATGTGCATTTCAAAAGAGACAGAAATGTGTTTAATTAATTAAGACAAGTTGATGAACAAATTATTTTCCCTTTGTACAAATTCCTTACTTATAGCTATGTGAGAATTTCATTATATACAAACTGCTTTCAGTCTTCAAGTATCACACAAATCAGAATATGATTGTGCATTATAAAAAGAATAATTCATAATATTCTTTCTATGTATTAATAAATAATGAAGAATATGAAAAAAGACATGAAGAGAAAGGAATTTAAAGAAAAAAGAGAAATAAAGGAAAAACGAAGAAAAAACAAAAGAAAACAAAAAAAAAAGAAAAGGAAGAAAATTAAAAAGAATAAAGAACAAAATAATGAAAATTTATTATTTTATTTATTATTTATTAAATGAAGTAAAAAAGAAGAAAAAACGAAAAAAAATAAAAAAAAATAAAGAAGAGAAAAAAAATAAAAGAAAGAAATTAATGAAAAGAAAGTAAAGAAGACAAAAGAAAACTAAAGAAAGAAAAGAACGAAAAATCGAAGAAAAAAAATTAGAAAAGCGACAAAAAAAGTGTTTGTGTTTTGTTGATTATAAAGTGTTTCTTTTTTCGTCCTACACCTAGGTGTATACTATATCCGAAACATCGAGGAATGCAATTTGAATTTGAATGAATCTGAATCATCCCCCGCTCACACAGTAAACTTCACGCGAATTCAAAGTTTCTCGGTTTCTCCTCTGATATTGAGCAGAATATTTATCGGCTTATTGTGCTGAAATCCAAATCCACGGTTCCGAATCCGTGATTGATCGTGGCAATCGAAAGTTCTCACGCTACTGTAATTCCTAGAAACGTTATTTATTATTCTCCAGGCTCTGTTATGTTCGAAATACAATGTTTGAACTTTTCGACTCGATACCCTTAAAAAAGTTAAAATCTTACACTTTTTTTCTTTTTCTCAATTTTTACCCCTTTTTCGGTGCTAAGAAAAACAGTGAGAGAGAGAGAGAGAGAGGGCGAAGCAGTATAAAAATTTAATAAAGATTTTATAACATTTCTTGTTATACACATTGGCTGTGTGATACATTTTCTTTAAAAAAAGAAAAAAAAATTCTAAGAGAAATATTTTACTTCCAAAAAAATGTGACATTTGACTGTTTATTAAAATTTCTGAAAGGGTGTAGATCCTTTTTTATAATTTGATTTTAAAGCAGTTTTTTTTCAGTTAATATTATAGTTCATTATTATTTTTATTTTATTTATTATTCATTTTATTAATAAGATTTTTTATTTAAAATTTTTACTTTTTATACTGTAAAAAATTAAATTTTTAGACTTTATATGAAAATTCTGAATATTAAAAGAAATCGTCAAGAATTCTAATACAAAACCTACAATTTTTTCAATTTCTGACAATAATTTATTTTTAAATAACTTTCTTTAAGAACTATCATAAAATTAGTTTTTAGAAATTATTTCAATTATTTTAAATTTTTAAAAGAAATTTTTCAAAAAAATTTAAATATATTCAGAGAATTGAAAAAAAAATAGTTCTGAGAAATTCAATTATTATTTAGAAATATTTAAATAAAATTCTATTATTTAAACTAAATTTTGACAAAATTCTTTACAAGATTTAGTTAATAAAATTTTCAATACAATTCTTCTTAAAAATTCAATTATTATCACAAATAATACATTTTTTATGGGAATTAAATTATTTTAAAAAATTTGAATAAAATTTTTTGCAAGAAATCAATTATTTTTATAAATAATAAAATTTTTCTCGAAAATTCAATTATTTAAAAAAATTTTGATAAAATGCTTTATAAATTTCAAAAATTAGAATAAAATTGATCATTGAATACAATTATTTTCGTAAAATATAAAAATATATTTTTCCTTGGAAAAACAATTATTGTTAAAATTGTTTGTAAAAATTTTCGCAACAATTCAATTATTTTCCTAAAATATAAAATTCATCGAAATAATTCAATTATTATATAAGAAATTTTAATAAAATTCTTCCCAAGAATTAAATTCTTTTCAAAAATAAACATTTTCACAGGAATAAAATTCAATTATTTAAAAAAAAAATTTAATAAAATTCTTCGTCAGATTTCAATTATTTTCAATTTTTTAATGAAATTTCTCAATGGAATTTAATTTTTTTTTTTGAAAAAGTTTTAAAAAATTATGAGAAATTCAATTATTATTCAAAAAAATTTGAATAAAATTCTTCACAAGAAATTAAAAAATTTCATAAATAATAATATTTTTCTCCGGAATTCAATTATTTTCAAAATTAAAATTCTTCACAGGAATTCAATTCTTTAAACAATTTTTTAATGAAATTTGTTGCAAGAATTCAATTATTTTCATAAATAACAAAATTTCAATAATTTTTTATATAACTTTGAATAAAATGAGAGAAAATTGCATTTATTCTTAAATTTTTTTTTGTAAATTCGTCGAAAGAATTCAATTATTTATTTATTTTTAAAAATTTTGATAAAATTCTTTATAAAAATTCAATTTTAAGAAATATTCAATTATTTAATAAATTATTTATTTTTGTATTTAAATAATTGAATTCTCAAAAAATTTTCTAATAAAAATTGATTAAATAATGAATTTTATTAAAAATTTTAAATTATAATTTAAATATTAAAAGCATTATGGCGTAAATTTTTAGAAATAATTGAATTTTGAAAAGAATTTAAAATAAGAATCTTTAAAAATAGTAATTCACAGTTTGTATTTGAGAATCTTAATTCCTATATAGAAAAATAATAATGATTAAATATTTATTTGAAAAAAAAGTTATTCATGTTTTCGAATAATTTTACAATTAAAGTAATTAATAAATAAATGTAATAGAACTTTTTTTTGAGTATCCAATAATTTTTAGAGTAAATCAGAATATTCTTTTGGGTCAGGCAAAAAGTCAAAATTTTGTCTGGAAATAAGGGAAAAACAAAATTAAATTTTTGTGGCAACCCTGATTATTACTATTTATTAGTAAAATTTACTAATTCAGAAACAAAATGTCAGTCACTGATTAAAATTACTAAACATCTTTGCTTATTCAAAATTTGAGAGTAAAGAGTAAAAAAAAAGTATTTCAAGAAAAAAATATTAAAAATTTTAATTAACAATACTAATTATAATTTAAAAATCATAATTTTCCAATTATAATTCAAAAATATAGTTCAATTAAAAAATAAATTACAAATAAAATTATCAATAATAAAAACATATAATGAGAAGGTAAATATTATTAAAATAAAATTTAATGAAAATTATCATCATATTTTTAAATGAAGCGAGAATAATAATAATTGAAGGCATTGACTCGAATATAATTTTCTACAAATTTATTGAACAGATGTGGTGCGCTAACTGAAATTTAATTATTATTTTAAAATGACAAAAGAGAGCAATGAACTCATTATTATATCCACACCCCCATTCCCCCCCCCTCTACACCAAGTTTTATGAAGCAAATTTCTAATTGATTGAAATGATTCTATATTAAAAAAAAATAGAAAAAAAAAAATTCTTTCTGGTTCTTATACATTATTCTAGAATCGTGCCTTCTTTCATCGTTTATCGAATTACATTTTGCTGGCTCGGCTGCTTAATAACGCGCTTTTCCTTTAAAGGCCATTGCTTCCACTTCGTAAGGCGTTAGCTTGGGAAGAAATTATATTTACGGGGCGACACATTCCAGAGCTCAATTGTTGGGAGAGAAACTAAAAAGATGAGAGACTCGAATCTAGAATGTAAGATGGCTTTTTAAAAGAGAAAAATTAACTAACAAAAAGATTAAAAAAAAAGAAAAAAGAAAATGAGGAAAAAAAATGAGAAGGGGAAAGGAAAATAATGACTCGAAGGGAAAAGAGTCAAGAACTATATGAAAGTTACGATAAGTAAGTTGTTTTATATTAGAAAAGTTTATAATTGTTTCAAGAGTGTACTTTTTTCTGCATTTTCTATCAAATTGTCTTTTTATTCAAGAAACAATTTTCCTTTATTATAATAAAATAATGGGGCTGTTCATAAACAAGGTAGTAGATTTAGATTTAGATTTATTTCTCCATTGTGCTTAATATATTTATTATTTGCAATAAGTAGAAATCAAAAAATTTGTTAACTGAACTAAAGAAATAAAAGAATTGAATTTCAACCCCTATTGTTGTCGAACTGGACATTTACTGCCATCTCTTGATGCTCAGTGGAAAATTGTAGTAGAAATTGCAAGTTATTCCGGTAATCGATAACTCACCCTCTGGGAAAATCCTTTTACGTTCTAGTTTCATGAAACTTCTGCTAAGGTGCGCTGCGATTCTGCTTTTCGAGTGCAAGAAATTTTTATATATGTAACGAATATCAATAAAGTTGATATACATATAGATAGTGAATTAAATTTTTAATCAAAGGGAATTAAAAACGCTGCTTTTATTAAAATCTTTTAATAGACAGGAGACTTTTTTTTTGT